ACATGCAATGGAATACTCCTCAGCCATAAAAAATGAAATATTGCCATTTTCAACAATATAGATGAATCTTGAGAGTATTATGCTAAGTGAAATAAGTCAGATAGAAAAGGACAAGAACCGTAAGATTTTACTTATGTGTGAGTTATAAAACAAAAAGCAACGAACAAAACAAAACAGAACAAACTCATAGATACAACAGAATAGTGGTTACCAGAGAGGAAGGGGAGGTAGGAGGAGGACACAGAGGGGTAAAGGGGGCCAAATACAAGGTGACAGAGGAGACTAGGCTTTGGAGTGTTGAGTATGCAACAGAGTATACAAATGTTGTGTTATGAGATTGTACACCTAAAATTTACATAATGTTATTAACCAATGTTACCCCAATAAATTTAATTTTTAAAAGATGAGTTTGCTAAGCAGAGAGATGGAGAAGGGTACTTTGAAGAGGGACAATCAGAGCTCTTGTAACAAATACTGTAAATATGTGTGTTCAGGAAATGCTACAGGGTCTCGATTGGCTGGATCAGAGAGGGTGGGAGTTGAAGAGGCAACCAAGATGCGAGACCAGAAAGAGAGACATTCAGGATGGTGTTCTGAGTTCTCCTTTCTTTGTGTCTCAGATTAAAGGTTAAAGTTCTCTTGCACACCTGTCAGTGGCTTAGTAATTAGATCGGGGGGGAGTATTACTCATACCTTCTCTCTAGTACTCAACTTTAAAAATATGAGCTCTAACCCATATTTTCAAGTCGAATGGTGAATGATAAAAAGGAGAGAGGGGGCCATCTTGGAGACTGAGGAAAGAGGCTGAAATCCAGCCTTTCTGGAACACAGTCACCAGCTTCCTTGGCCTTCAAGCCTGTCCTATGATGACCTATAATCCTCCAACTCACTTCACTCCCAAGCTTTCTAAGTAGAATATTTTGGAGGAGGGGTTTGGGAACCTGAATGTGAGTGAGAGTAGAGGTAGATGGCCAGCAAATAGAGAATTCCATTATCTGTTTGAATTTAGAAGTAGTAGATTAGCTTTTAGCTATGATTTTGGCTTGCCTGGTTTTGGCAGGCAAGCAAAATACAGAAAGAGTATTCTGTTCCTTTAAAAAGGTTTTACTTCATTTTCAGTTTCTCCACCTACAAAAGGGCAGTCAGTTTTGTGGGGTTTTGAGGTATAAAAACCTGGCATTCGTTTTGTGATGGTGCCAGTGCACACTTAGAGAAACAAAAAGCTCCCATTCTGTCCTGAATGCTAAGAAGATATCACTTGCTAAGACTGTGTGTCAGCGTTTGATATTTATTGGATAAAACATCTGTCCTACTTCTTTAGTTTCCTGGCTCCTGTTGTAATTTCACATACAGGGGATTCCCTAGATCCTTTCTTTAACATTAATTTTCTTTGGCTTATATTTCAGAGGCCACACTCAGTTCCTTAGATAAATATTCAGGCAACTGTTTAAAATAAACCTGGTATTATTTATTTACCACATCTGTTATTAAGAAAGCTATAAAAATAAGTAAAAGTGGAAACCATGTGTTTTGTCAGAGTATGAAGCTTCCTGAACATGCACAATCGAACTACTTGGTGTTTTTAGATTCAGCCATCCTCATCATATTCATGGCAAAAGAATGAACAATGCTACACATATGCCCATGTTAAGATGTCTATATTGTCAAGACACACACACGTGCACGCATGTGCACACGCAAGCACATTGTTTGGAGTCTATGGATTCATTATATTATACTCCACCCATTTTCTTCTTGATTTCTTTTCATTGAAAATAACTGGGGTTTTATTCTTTCTCTTTTTTTTACATTAATTAATTAATTTTTACGGTGACATTGGTTAACGAAATCCAATAAATTTCAGCTACACACTTTATCAGTAAGGCATACATATATTTACACTGTGTGTTCACCTCCCATAGTTAGATTTCTTTCTGTCACCACATATTTGACCCCCGTTACCCCAGCTACCTACCCCCACCCTCAAAAATAAATGTTTTTAACCCAAAGGAACACTAACTTATAGGTTTTTTTCTTTTACACTTACTTTCTTCTAGAGTCTATAAATTTTTTTTTTTTTATCAGAGGTAACTAATTAGTAAACAATGGTTTGACTCAGAGAAATAGGACTAAATTCCAGAAATAGAAATTGGGGAGGAAAACGACTATGTAGGAAAGGAATTCTCATAATGCATCAGTTGGGTCTAGGATAGAATGTAAGATAAAGCAAAATAGAGTTGAGTTAAAGGAAAAGAAATCACCTTAAGAAAAAAAAATATAGTATTTCTTGATGCTGTTTCAGTTTTATTATCCTGCCCTCTATCTGAAGCTCTGGACTTTAAATTGAAAAAAAAAACCTTACTTTTGGAAACACTGTGTGTAAATATATGTGAATCACTATTAATATGGTACAATAGTGAATTTAAACCAAAATATGTAGCATGTACGGTGATACTGAAATATAGATATCATGATACCCAACAATTTCCTAAGTCAGAGAGAAATAGAGCAAGTTGTAAGTAAGATATCTAGTGTCCTCAAGAAGGACCACTGATTAGAGACTGCTTATTGTGGCAGTTAGAAAATATAAGGGAATGAGGCTTTAATTAAATATACAGTGATTCAGTGTTTGTTGTTTTTTGATCCTGCTGCGTTGAAGTTAACCTTGAAACACTTATGAATAAAACCATTTCCTAAGAAAACTGGAAAATACGTTTAGATGTCCAGTAGGCAGAAACACTCTCATATTTTTCATAAATTCCATAAAATCCATTTACTGCATTTGCTTATCCTTTGTAACCAATAAGTTTCCATTTTTTCTAGGTGGAAATACTCCTCTATGCATGTGAAAGTAATAAAACATATTTGCTAATGCACTGGCTGGGCTTACATCACATCTGTTTAGGTCTGTTAAAATAGGATCATATATCCCATCTGCCACTTTACTCTTGCCCCCTCCCCAGTTTGTCACACTTCATAGAGACTTCAGGACATTGAAAAGGCCATCCATGTAATCAGTATAAAAATAAATTAACTTTTATAATATAAACCGATGATTGGTTCTAATATTTCTTGATAAGTAAGCTTTGGCAAAGTATTGCAAAGTACTCTAGTGATCATTTTAAGGAGAGAAGCCTGGGAGCCATGGTTTATGCAAGTAGTATTATAAAATGTTTCTTAACTAGGACATTTAGACTGAAGGGAAAATATATTGTATCAAATAGAAAAAAGTCACCTGATCTTTAATTCAAGGACGTCTCTCACTATATCCATGGGCAAATCCTTTTGCTCTTTCAACCATAGCATTTCCTGGGCCAATCGTTCTTACCCATAATTCTTAATTTTTTCATGTCAGAGATTAACTGACTTGTTCTCTGTGCTCTTACTGACTTCTTGTTTCAGTACTGCCAGCATGATGCAAGGGAATCAGACTTCTTTAGTCACTGAATTTTCAGCATCAGTTCTTGGCTTTAAGGCCAGATATTTTAAGTAGAAAATTATAGGCCTGGCCTTGGATCCCAGCTCTACTGTTTCATTGGCTGTGTGACCATGGACAAGTTATCGAGCCTTTCTGAGCTCTAGTTTTCTCTTTCCAATATGGAGATAATAATTTTCCATCTTGCAAGAAAGCTGTGAGAATGAAATGAGATTACATATGTACAATGCTCGGCATTAATAACTAACAATTATTTTATTTTCCAAAACGTGTTCATTTTGGTTTCCTGATTACTTTGTGTTAAAACAAAACTTGATTAACTTTTTTTTCCAAACATTCTCTTTCAAAAACCACATTTTCATTTCTAGGCAATATGTGCTTAAGTCTATCTAAAGCAGCTTGACTGTTCTCAACACTGTGCACATCCATATGCTTCTATTTTTTAATAGAATAATTTTTACTACACTTTTTTTTTTTCTTTTTCTAAACTCAAGTTAGGATCTTCCCGAGTTACTGTTCCTTGGAAATTTTCTTGGATTAGGGTTAAACCTGGTGCCCTTAAAAAGTCATATTTTGAGCTTTTACAATATGTGCTCAAGTTATTTTCTTCCATCTAATTTCCTTTTACCTCCTGCCTTTGACATATGCCTCCATTCTGCCACAAATCCTAGTGCTTCCTCACTTTGGTTTTCCAAGTAACTCCTCCTTTAGTGTGCACAGAAAAGAGCCTGCACTTGCACTCCTGCCAAAGCCACTCCAGTATAAACCTAGTCTCTCTGGTGAAATGAGGTCACATTCCAGGAGGACCAGAAGAAGTGTTCTGGTTCCACCAGCAGGTTTCATAGAGCCATTCAGTTATCCATGTCAATAAGACAGTGGTTCGTCTAAAAAAACAGTCTTTTCTAAGAAAATGTCTTCTGTAGAATAGGCAGCAGAAAAAATTTGACTCTACTACAAATGGCCAGATTATATTGTATATCTGCAGAGGGCTCCATTTTCTTGAAAATAATTATTTTAAATTGACTGACAACCAGCATCTCGGATTTTATTTTTTTCTTCTCCATGCTATGTGACTTGGCCCATAGGAGAAGATGAACATGCCCCAGTAGGCCATGGATTGTACAGAACAAGGGCTGTTAAACAGAAGAATCATGATACCTCTGAGGTTGATAGATTTAAGACAACTTCTTAATTTAGATTATTTCTTCAGAATACTATATGCATTGCCCCATCTCCATATTCAAATTTGGAAAGTATTTGCTGACTCCCAACTCTTGAAGCAGATATTGTGCTTTATTTTATGTCTGTACAATAGCCCTATGACATAGAAATTATCATCAATTAGTGGGTAAGGAAATGGAGACTTGGAGAGGTTAAATGTAACTGTGGCCACACAGTTATTAAATGATCCCTTCTTTCAAATCAAGAGACTTCTTTTCACTGTGCTATTTTGCTTTATTTTAGGTATCCATTTTCAAGTGGAGAAAAGCTCCGAGTTAATTACAGTGGATATAAAAAAAGAGGAATTCAAATTAGTAATATCATTATCTCTCTGTGTTTCTAGTTTGTGCAAAGCAGGTAACTGATGAAGCATCTTCCACTCGAGATTCAAGCCTTACTAACACAGCAGTGCAAAGCAAGTTAGTGTCTTCCTTTCAGCAACACACCAAAAAGGCTCTTAAACAGGTAAGATAGTTGGCACTCGTTCTTTGTCCTTTGGTCCTACCTACTTAAGTTAATGGGTGTTATGCAGAGAAAGTAAAATAAAAAGAACATAGCAATCAGAAGGCAATAGGAAATGTCCTGAATTAAACCGCTTTTGTAATATTCAGCACAGTAATTTTAATCTATTCTAAAAACTGGAAAAGGCTTGTTTGAGAACTTTAGGGTAGAATAGAAGAGGGAAAATGTGCTTGGAAACATAATAAAAACTTGTATTAAGATTTGCGTGCGTGTGATTTATAGTAAACATTGAGTTCATAAATGCATTGCATGTTTTGAAAATAGTGTCTATATTTATGGTCTCGTGTTTATCTGGTAGTTGATATAAAAATAAACAGATAACTTATTTCTCATTACTGAGATACATTAACTTACAAATAAGAAAAACAGTAATTGTGGCTTATTTATATCTAGAATATTTATCAGCAAGTGTTGTTTGGTACCGAGTGGAGGTTAACTTTGAAGTATCATCTTGAAATTACATAAGCATTCTTGACCGATGTGTCCCTCTCTGGAGATGGTGGTGGGACATAATGATTATAGAGTTGGACTTTGGGCTCTCAAATACCCTAGTTTCAGTCCTTGCTACTCAGTGCATAACTCTGGGGAGGCTACATTTTTTCTCTGTATCTTAAATTTCTTTTCTAGGAAATGTGGAAAATAATAATACCTTTCACATGGGAATGATCTGAGAATTAAGTGAGGCGTGAGGTGATACATTAAAAGCATGTGGTAGAGTGAGTGTGTGGCACATAATTGTCAAAAAAAAGTTGGCTTCCACTGCCACACTGGCAAATGCCGATTTGTGCAGGGAAGAGAAGGAAGAGATGCTAAAGGTAGATGGGGACAATGCACGATGGTAACAATAATGTCAGTAAATGGAAGGCTCACATATTTAACCCTGAATTCATGGATTTCCCTTGTGTAACTGCTTTGCTCTTAGGTTTTTATTTGGATCCTTCTTTGACAATCTCCTCTGCCTCTCTCCTTGCTGATCATTTGCAAATCTAGCATCATTCTAGTGATATAGTATGTATAACAAGGAAAGAGAAACCACGTTTTAAAATAAAGTCAAAATTTTCTTTAAAAGTTCCACCAACCTGTAAATCTTCTTAATATTCACATCCAGTCTCTTAGAATGTCTCTGCCTACTTCTTCTCTACTTCATGCAAGAAAACTTAGGAAAGAAACAAAATGTTTTTGTACTGAACTATGTTACTTTCTTATTCTGTATTAATTATTGAAATTGCAGTATTTTCATTCATTGGGATTATATTTATGGTATAACAATGTTTCATCCTACATAGGTCAAATAATCTTTGCCATTTATATTATTGCTCTTGTGAAAATGTTTTAGACACCAAAGAATAAAATTCAATGTTGAGATCCCTTTTTAATTGCTAAAAGAAAGGATGGGAGTCTAGGAAAGGCTTATTCAGGCAGCAAATAGGATGCTCCAATAAAATACTAACCAGGATAGAACAGAAGATACAAAACTGGACAGTGGTAGTCATAGCATTTAAGAAACATAGTTGTGATCATAAATGAGACTCATACTTCCAAAGGGCAGTGATTTAGAAAATGTGCACACCATGAAATCTTGCTGTATATGAACGTAAAGATAAATATTCACATCTCTGAATTGTCATGTGTCATTTTTTACTTTCTCCATTTTGGTTTCATATCATTTAAACATTTTTAACAATTATGAAAACATTACACAACTTTGAGTTAGTGTTTTTTTGTTTTGTTTTATTGTAGAGCATGTGTTCATGGGAAGTGCCTCTTGCTCGCTTAGGATCTAAGCCTTATTTTAAGAAATCTGTTCCGAAAACTTAATGTCCTTAAAGAGTTATTTATACATTTTATAAAACTTCCTATTGTTTAACCCAGTAACAAATTAGTTACCAGGAGAATATGGCACACTATGTATATAGCAGATATGCTAATGTTTGATTAATAATCAAATTCATATTGGAAATACATTTAGAAGGAAAGCTGTTCTTGCAGAATTTTGCTCAGATTCCCTGTAATTGCTGAATTTAAGACAGCATTTCAAAAATTGAACATGAAGCATTTTAAATTGTAGCAGCCTCAGCAAATCTGCAGCTTTCTTTTAGATAGTTGAATAGCCATGTATACACTTTTGTAAGTCTATATATCCATATATATCCATATATATGTGTATATGTGTGCATTCTGTGTTTTTGAATGTTTCGTGTGTATATTTACATGTATAAATCATAATTTTATGAACATAGGGCCGGCTGAATGACCCTATTAATAATTGTATTTATCTGACACTTATTCTTCTGATTTTAGACATTATGCCCTGCATTTTACTGGTACTATGCCATGTGTCCTCATACAAATTCTTTAAGGTATGTACTAGTATCCCTGTTTTTCAAATGAGGAACCTAAGGCCCAGAGAAGTTAGACAACTCGCCCAAGATTGTCCAGTAAGTCTTGGAGATGACATTTGATGCCAGAATCATAGCTTCAGATACTGCCATCTTAACTAATGCTTTCTTTCAGCATATGATATGTAATAGGATAGGTGAAATTTTACATTATCCAAGGAAATTTAATTTTTGAGTATTTGTATAGAGTAAAGAAAGCAAAACAGGATAATCATTAAGAATATTACTTTCAAACACAGACTGCTTATGTTCAATATCAGCACATATTAATGATAACTACTCAAAAAATATTAGCTTTTATCATTTTACTAGAAGTGTTGTGTGTGAGTCAATAGGGCTTTGGTAGTTCAACTATACGTTGGCCAGTGCAGATTCTTAGAAAGAAGTAGGTAAAAAAACAAACAAATTCCAATAGCTTTATAAGCATAAGGATAGTGAAAAATAATAATTTAAAACAAACGTCCATACAAAATGAGCCAGACATATTTCCCAGACTGGGGCCTCCACCCCAACCTAGACCATGTTGCTATAGAGAATGGGTCCTCTCTGCAGAACTGTTGGCTGCAGTGTATTTATAGGCTAGACAGTAAAGAGACTGTAATGCCCCTTGGCTATTGATATAATTTTCATTCTTTCTAAGTACTTGGGTCCCTTCTCCTTTCTAATCATCAAAATGTTAGTTAACACCATTTGTTGAGTGTAATTGCATGATTAATATATTGTTATTTCAGTAGATTTTTTTTCTGAATAAGCATATTCAGAATAAGCATATGTAGAAGCTTTTGGAGAATAGCAAATTGCTGATTATTATCTTGTTCCCTGTCTTCTTTCTGCCTTGTTATTTTAGTTGTAATGATCCTAAAAAGTATAGAATGATTAGATTTTGGATTTTAAAGAAGGATAATTAAGAAAGATTAAATTTTGGAAGTTTTTAAATAGCAGAATCAAATGAAAGTTTTAAGAAGGATGAGATCTGTTACGGGAGGTAACATGGCACAGAACAGAACCTTTCTATGTTTCTGTTGGTTTATTTTTCTTCATTATTTAGGGTGGTAGAATTTATTCGCAAAGTTGCACATCCTTTTTCCTCTTCGTATCACAAAGCAGATATATTCTTGGTATTTTGCTTTAGCTTTATATGTTTGACCACTACTGTGAAATTCCAAAGGTTATGTTGCATGATAGCAGTTTGTGAATGTGGGCGCTGACATTCAGCGTCCTAGCAACAATGCAAGTTGTTGGTGCCTGACACCGCCAGCTGTTCCGTGTGTGTGTGTGTGTGTGTGTGTGTGTGTGTGTGTATGTGTGTGTGTGTATGTGTTTGCAATTATTTTAGCATTCACAGCATGCGATATCTTCAGATTTTTTAGTGAAGTGCTTGTTGCATTCAGTGCATTCTTCAGTTACATTATTGGTGGTGTTTATTAAAATAAAGCAGGCATTACTTGCTTATGTAAATTCCAAGATAACACAGAAGCCTCTGATTTTAGGTTTTATTTTATTTTTCATTAAGGTGGAAATGAGGATCATTTAATACTTGTAGAGTTATCTGGTGAGCTTTCTGTTTTAAAAAAATGTTTATATAAAGATTTTTTATTTTGTCTCTTTTTACAAGAAAGTATCGCGATTCAGGGCTAGAGAAAAGCATGCTGAGTCAGCACCTCTTGATTTCTTTCTTTTCCCTTAGACCCAGAATTATTATTGATGTATGATATGATCTTTACTTTTCCTAGACTGGTTTAGCTCTGTTGTGTTTGTTTCCTTTAAAAACTAAGTTTATTTCCAATTTTAAGCCTGTAAATGTTGTTCATACTGATGGTACCTGGAAGTATTAAACTTCACAAGTTTAATGTTCTCCGTATAGCTTGGACATGACGACATTATACACGTGGGCAGCTCAAAGGTACATTCTTTCATAGCAGACTGTATTTATATTTGCCATCTACTTATTTATTTGGGGGTTTAAAAATTTATTTTTTGGGGGGGGTAACTTTTTATTTAGGTTTTGATATTGCTTCTTTCTAGATTTGAAATTATAGGATTTACAGTTGTTCAGTAAGCTATTCCATTAGCATTCCAATGTATAGCTAAGGCCTGAGTAGTTAGAAGTGCTTCATTGATATCATCCCCCTAAAATGAATCAAGACTAATATAGTAAGACTTATTGCATAAAATCAATGTCAAAATAAAACCATGTTGCAGATTAATCAACAAGATCCCAGGGCTAATTGAGACCTTTAGTGCGGAATAGAAAAAAGCCACCCTCACCCCAAACTGTCACCACAACAAAAAAGTTTTCCCCTTTCATGGTACCCTTGTGCAGAACAAATCTTCCATGACCAACTAAAGTGGCCTTCCTAATTCTATTTTCTTAATCTACTATCTGGATTTATATTTTCTGGGTTGTGGATACCCAAGCTTAGTGACAAGTTAAATTGCATTTACCTTCTATTACATTTGTAACATAATATAAAATAGGAATTTTTTTGTTTTCTTGGAATTTTAGCTAAAGTTCAAAGTTGAGGACAGTGGGATACAAGTGTGCCCTTTAGTGAAGAAAGGTGCTAGACACAGCTTCAAAGGACTTACTGAAAGAAGGCCAGATGGCCACTGACCATCTCCCAAGAGCCTATATAGAAACAGCACTGTGGATTTCCTATTTAAAACAGCTTAACCAACAGTATAATCTCTGTTCTACTAGGACATTTACCCAAGTAATTTACTCTGCATCACGCAGCTTGTTAAGTGTTCCAATGACTCTACAACCTCATCCTTAATCATTGCACCACATAGTGATTAAGACAGCTCTGAAACAGCCCGTCTGCCTGCAGGACAGCACATTAGAGGAGGGGGATTTTACCACATCTCTTGGGCAGTGGTCAGGCTCATTTATTTAGGGAGGTGAGGAGCACTGGGACTATTGTTTAGTAGGTGTCAAAGATTGGTGCCTTTGGGCCTACTTTGGCTCAGAATCATCTTGATTGTGTCTGGCATGTGTTTAGAAACAGGAAAACTCACTAAAAATCCAGTTGTGTTGGTTCTTTTGAGTCATTACTGCCCCTTCCATTGGGGTGTATGTGTCCCCACTCACTTCAGCCTCCCTCGTCATTGTCTTATCCCAGCCATGTGGTCCAAAAAGCATTGCACATATTTTGAAGGAATTGTGAGGAGACAAGCAGTATCCATGTGAGGAATCAGTGCGTACATAGTTGCTGAAATAGTTACATAATCACAGCAACAAAACATGAATAGCTAGCTTCTTTACTTGCTGGGCGCGAGCCCTGCAACAGAGACCAGGAATATAAGAACTATATAAACATGTATGATAGTGTTAGGCAGGATTCACTATATGACCCACCTCATGGACGAGACAGATACTAGAGTTCTCTTGTTTGGAGCCAGTACAAACTATCCCAAACACCTCAGTTGAATCAGCATTGTTTTCCTCCATCCGTCTATGTCTTGACTTGCTTGGAGAATATCCTCGGTGTCCAGGGTCAAATAAATCCAGCTTTCTAGAAAGTGGATTAGAATCTTCAAGTAGCCTAAAGTGACTCAGCCAAAAATGATAGCAGATCTGGTAAATACAATCAAGATGCTGCTTCTGATAATCTGGATTCTGATGTTCCTCAGAGTTTACCTAGTAGCCTGCTGCTTTACTACTGTGACTAACATCATAGTAAATAGACTTTCCAATGTCTGCTTATTTGCCCCTAGAAAACTTATTTGAGGTCAAATATAATGCTTGTTTTTCAGAGGTAACAAAAAAGTATATATATTTTTTGTACACTTAAAACAGTCATTTTTTTTTGTATGGCGAGCATTTAGTATTGGTCACCTGCAGGTACGTAGTGTTGCATTTCAGTATTTTTAAAAATGTTCTATTAAGAAATGTTGTTCAAACGATTGACTAGGAAATCCATTTTCAGAAAAAAATCACTGAAATGGACTCATAGGATAGCATTCCTTTTTTCTTACCTTGGTTCCATCTCGACTGTTTAAAATTCGAAATAGCTCTGAGTTTTATTATTATTGTATTATTATTATTCCTGTCATGGTTTCTTTTTATCCAACTACTAATTTTTCTACAGTAGAGTCTTCTCAGCTTTAAAAATTGAGTAAGAAAATTTTATTACTTATTATTTACCACAAATACTATAAAAAGACATACCATCTTTGACTTTATGATTCCAGCTTTTAGTCTTATTATTTCATCTTTTTTTTTAACAACATTTTCCAAAACATTCTCCACCCTGTCATAAAATGAATATTTTTTAAATGCCTATTTGGATTGCCAAGGGAAATAGTTGAAATCAATGATATATAGACTCCTAAAAACTTATCACTCTTTGTATAGGTTTTATTGTCTTGTGAAGTCTTACATAGTGGGCAAAGATGGACTTAATTATAACTTAAGACACCATGTTGCTATGTTCTCTTTTGTTATTGGATTGATAGGTTGATGTCTAGAGAGATTTATGCAATTATGTATACACCTTGATGGAAGAAAGAGCAAATGTCTTAAATATTTTATAGCACACATGCTTTCATTAAATGTATTATTGACAGCAAGCTAAAGGTGAGGAAGACAGAGGATGACATCTTATTCATTTTTGTATTTCTTGTCTACCCTCAGTGCCTGGTACTTTGAAAAAGCTCAGTAAATCTAAGAATTGAAAGGAAAATGTCCTATCTTATTATAAGCAACAGAATCATTTGTAATAGATTTCCCAAGCCATTTACTTTCCGCTGTGGTTTTAAATCTCATCTGAATATGCCTTCTCTCATTTAAATGGTATTCAGTGTTTCACTTCTATAATTATTTGATTGCTAAATCTTTGATCAACAAGTTAGACATTCAGCTAATACCCTTTGCAAATAAAATGGGATCATTTCTGACTAATATACAGTCAGTGCATTTCAGGAGATTGTGAATATTGGTCAAAGATCATTAATCAAGTAACTGAGATATTATAAAATTGGTAGAAATTATGCAGAAACCAGGAATGAAAAGGTTTGAGACTCTCTGTGGTCAGCCTTTTAACCTTTTGAGGAATTATAACATTCCTATAACTATGAATTTAATGTCTCTTTAGTTTCGTGTGCTTAAGACCCTTTTTATTACAGGTAATTTTTGGCATAAAGCGATCGGCTAGATAAGCTGTATTTCAGAACTTTTAAATGTCTTTTATTACCTTATCACCATCGTGGTTGATTCATTTATAAAACACAAAGCACTCCCATTTGGAAAGATTTATTCTCTTATCAGTTTTTTTTTTTCCTGGATTTGCCAGAACACCGTAATGTTCGTGTTCTGAAGGTTAATGCCCAAAGTCAAGCAGACAGAAGCCAAGTGCTGCAAGGTTTCCAAGATTAGGACTGATTCCCTTCACAGAAATAAATGATTCCTGCCATGTTCAGTGATTTTGTGCAGCGCTCCCCACGGCCGAGTGAGTGCATCAATACTGTAGTCCTTACCTGCTGTACATACTGATGACACTCGGTGTTAACTTGATTGACTGAGCAGTGCACTGGAGAGGACGCACCTGCTAGAGAAGTGCAGACACATATATTTTTATCCCGGTCTCGAAACATTTATTTTACATTTATTTTACTTGGGAGTCATGGTTTCAAATTCCATGGGCTTTCAAGCCACACTGCTAAGGTAGAACAAACCTGTAAGTGCTGCTTTGTTTTCAGCATTATACCAAAAATGGTCTCAGATTTATACCCTTTGCCAAAGCCTGATTTTATGCTTTTGAGGGAAAATGACATGAAGGTGACTATTAAGAATCCTGACAAATTAGTAACTGTGGAATTTAAGTCTCTTAAGAGGTTCTATCTAATGATGGGCGAATGGATCATTTAATTCAATTCTGAGAAATCATTTTGGCTATGTTTTTATGTTATATTTTATTATCGTGTTTTATAGGCTTTGAGGCAGCAGCAGAAAAGAAGAAATGGAGTCTCAATGATGGTAAACAAGACTGTTCCTCGCGTTGTTTTGACACCATTAAAAGTGTCTGATGAGCAGTCGGATTCGCCTTCAGGTAAAGAGCTAAAATATGGTATGCTTGGCCAGTTTCTTCCCGAAGGAAACTTCCTCACTGAGAGAGATGTCATGAATTCTCTCTGCAACTGAATGATATTTCCACGTGAGCTTTTGTTTATTTTATACCCTTGACTCAGTGATTCAAAAAAAAAAAAAATAGGGTATTTCACTCTTAAAAAAATGCACCAGTTCACTCATCATCAAGGACTTTATTTGTCAATAGGCATAAGAAGATGTGTGGGGCTGCTAGTGGATTTATTTTGTTATTGCTTTGGCTTTTGTTTCGATGTTGAACTTTAGTGATGGACCACACACTGATGTGTAATGCCTTCAAAAGCAGTTCTCCTGTGAGTGTGAATTTGTTTTTCAGTCCTCTGCTGCAAAATCAAGAATCCTTTATTAGTTTTTGTGTTCTGGCAACATTCTTCTCACCTCAGTGCCGCCCTGACCTTTTATAATTTACCTTCTGTCACTTTATCAGCTTTGTGCCATTCTGTTTATTATAGACTGATATTTGCATTTTCTGTTCCTATTTCAACATAAAGTTATTTATAAAGGTATGATCTCTCTCTCCCTTTAAGCCTCTCTTCTTCCTTCATCTTTGTCTCAGTCTCGCATTGTCTCTAAATGATATAGTACTATTGAAGCTTATTCGTGTATTTTTACAGAAGATCTGAGTGTTTCTTTTAAAAGCTATCAGATCAGTGAACGTGTTTTTGACTCCACTATTAGGCCATCTGTTCTTGCTTTTTGTTCTGTTTGATTGATTTATTGGGCTTTTCTCTTTGTATCTAGTAGAGGAATCAGATTGTGGCCAAAGGTACTGAATTAACTTTTAGAAAAGGAGATTTTATCTACAGTTTTTAAAAACAATTTTAGATTTATCTTTTCAAGGACAGCAAGAGGAAGATAATGACATAATAACTATTTCCTTTTTTAGGATCCGAATCTAAAAATGGTGAAGCAGACAGTTCAGATAAAGAAATGAAACATGGGCAAAAATCTCCCACTGGAAAACAAACAAGTCAGCACTTAAAACGATTAAAAAAGTCTGGTTTAGGTGAGTGTTCAGTAGACTATGACATTTCACATTTTAGAGATTTATATCTTTTTGAATGAAATTATAGTAAATCTCAGAACATTTTTTAATGGTTAAACAAAAAAAAATTTAATCTTTCCAATTTATCTAAACCAAAAAGGGTGCTAAATAAGGAAACATAGTTATAAAGGAATGCTCTGAAGCATTGATTAGTAAATTGTGAATATTGCTTAAATATTGCTAAATTTGTAAATGACATTATCAGATGAAGCAGAGGCTAACGATGAGAGATTTAAAATAATATATGTGTTTAAGTAATCATCTGTCAAGTCATGATTCTGTCTAATGTGCAATATTTTGTTTGTGCAACTGGATTTCACTTTACTGGAATATACTTTATTGGGGGAAAATGCAATTTGTATAGCGTTCATTAAACTGGAGAGTATATTGTAGTTGGGGTTCACTGTGGTAAAACTCTTCCTTGCTTTTCATCTGTGCTGCTTGAAATATTCAGTAATGCTTGTCTGAAAAAAGTGTAAAATTGCTGAGAAGTGTGAGAGACACAGTCCATGGGTCTTGTTAAGTCAGCACCAGGTTTTCTTGTGAAGATTTCCTTTCTGATAACTTTTCATCAGGAGCTTTGTGGCAGCACACTGAGGGAAAAAGGCATATGAGAATTAAAAAGATGAAAATAAATGTATCCTGGGACAAACATTGCAATTCTCTACTGAATATGCCTTGTTGGATGTCTGGACGTAATGGCTTCATTTCTCTCTCTCAGTTATTTTACCTCTGAGTACGGTAATGATAATGACCTGGATCATTGTAACATTTTGTAAAATGGTTGATAGAAACTACAAGTTTATTGACCTGAACTTTATTACTGGTTCTGCCACTTATTTTCTTGGCAACTTAGGGTAGTTCTTATTTATAAAACTTATCTGTTTATAAAATTCAAGCGAGATTTTGACCCATTTATTTTAATTTTTTAGTAAAGGCTTATTGATTGCCTACTGTATACCAAGAATTTTGCTAAATCCTAGGAACATGTTTTCAATAAAAAGTCTTTGATTAGGATTTATATATTCTTAGATAAGATCTCTTTGTGGAAGCACAAATTATTTTCGTTTTAAATTCTTAAATGTGGCATAGTCACCTCATTTGCATTATTTCCAAGACTAAATAATTTTATAGTTTTGTGTAGCCCAAAATGTGCGAGAGTGTGTTTGTGTATAACCACATTTACACATATACTGATATATTTTTTTCTACTAGCCTTTTGGATGTTGTAAAGTAAGTATTTTAATATGGGAAGCTTCTGAAATAGAAAACTGTAATGAGAGAATGATATGTAAAGAATGTCCTAAAAAATGCTATGTTATGATACCCTAAGTAATTTAAAAGTCAGTGACCTTCAGTTAAAAATAGTCTGCTACCAGCCTCTGTAAAGTCAATGTCATAGCTTGAATTTAAGAAAATTGAAGGCACAGAGCTCTCTCTATTTAATTACTTAGCTGACATCAGGACTGGAAGTCAACAAGAGTGTATACTAGGTAATCAAGACCTTCTCAGGCACTCAGGTCTTCAGTCAGGATCTCTTGAAATCTAATTGTTACTGAGAAGTCTTGCATGCCAGTAAATGTCTTACATGTTAAAAATTGTATCATCAGAGTATTTTATCTGACTTGTTAGCAAATTAAAAAGGCAACAAAGGAGATTACTTCATTCTTTTCTACCTGCTTTCTTTTAGACTACAAAGTCATAGAAATAATGAAGCTACCTTAATGAAAGAATAGAGAAGTAAAGTCATATTCACTGCCCATATTTAATGCAGTGGTCTAGCTATTTTGACAAAAGTTATCTCATTTAGTCTTTACCTCAGTTATGTACAACAGAATTATTTCCATTTTTCAGCTGAAGAAACCAATGCCTAGAGGATTACAGTGATTTGCCCATAAATGACACAGCTAAGATTCAAGCCAAGGCATAGCTAGCTCCAAAGTTTAAACCATTGATTAACATGGTTAGATGTGGTCTGACTGTCAAATCATCTAGTCTATATCATAGACCTGTAGCCACTACTGAGGAGCAACATGGCACTCTGTAACATCATGAATCTGCCATACATGTTAAAATGCAGGCACACGATTACACATAGAAGAGAAGTGAGGGACTATAAGATTTCCTGGCTGATCCTGTAAAATCAAACAGACTGTGGAAAAGATGGGATTTAAATCAAATCAATTAGGGTAAAAATTTGTCAAAAGTAAACTGAAGGTGATTACTGAGAAGGAACTGTGACTGACTGACTAACCTAGCAAGCAGCCGGGCGGAATGTATATATCCATGCAAAATAGTACTTATTAAGTAATACTTATTAAGTAGTACTTATTAAGTAAGCCTCCAATATATGCCCAGTACTAGAAAATGAAAAGTGAAAAAATGTAAAATGAAAGAAAGAGCCATAAATGTAACCATCTCTAGACGGTAACCCACGTCTCTTTTGGAAAATAATATTTTTGATGTTCTATGACCTTAGAAATCTTACAGAGTAAAAGATTCTAGAAGCATTTTAGAGTGAGGATGGTATTTAATACTCCATAAGGCACGTTTATGTATATTTTGCTCTCCCCAATTTGCCATTAAGTTGTTAATTCTTTGGGAATTCCTTCTTGTCCATCTTTGAGGTTCTCGCCACACCTATTATATCACTCTTATTTAGTAGGTACTGAATAAGTTTTGAATTAATTATTTGTAAGTAACTGAATGAGCTAGTAAGTTGGTCTCGATGTATGAGGCATCCTGGAGAGGGCTAAGAGCACACAATAAAATGTGTAGATATATTTTCAATAACCCTCAGTCATTTCTGTTCTGATAATGATCTTGAGATCCTTATGAGAAATATATCAGTTAGCATAAGGACCTATTACTTTTGACTCTGATGATCTTATCGTAAAAAAACAAAACCTTGTTAGTCCTCTCCCATTTCTTAATTATGCATGGTAGAAAACATTATTCTGATTTGCATAGAAACAAATGCAATAATATCTACAAGGGCTCTTTTATATCGTATATCTTGAAAATTATTAAAGCAGTAAATATTGAACCACCAAATAGTCAGTTGAAACCACATCCAGTGAGATGAAAGGTAGGTGACAGCTGAAAATGGGATTTGAAATGCACGTTTTCTTGCCTAATCAGTTGTTTTAATATCCTGTCTCCTTATCTTAGCATAGGATGAAACTCATTTAAAACTTCCCCTATGGAGTTTCCTGAGGTACCTGTGGTACATTATAATCTTGCAGTCTACAGGGCACTTAGAAGATGGATCGTGAACATTTAAAAAAGTTGCTTAGTGATATTCTCTCTTACCACTTGTTTTGTATTAATTTCTCATATTTTCCCCTAAAATATAAGTTCCTTGCATTAGCGGTCATTTACCTAAATCAGTTTTTAATGACACTTCTTTCTATCCCATCACCACAGTAAAAGTTTAAAAAGTGTCTGCTAAACAAATCTGAGATTCTAGTGGATGTCTCTGAGGGTTTTGTCATAAATATTCTCACTAAGCTCAACTTCTGGGATGCATTCCAATATATTTTATTTGGTTTCATCTTTTTGTAGTGAAGTATTATAACTTTACTAGTTTCATAAAATTTATATACTTTTAAAATAATGTAGAAAAATAAAAATAAGATTTGAATAATAACCCTAAATCTATCATGCAAAATAACTCCCCCCAGTGTTTTATAAACATTATTTGACATCTCTTAATGTGTATGTATAGGAAGAGATCATCTTAGAAAAACTGTATTATATTATTTCAATTAAAAGTATTAAATTTAAGTTTAGGCTGAAAAGTAAAAAAAGAACAGAAGTAAAAAAAGAAAATTGCTAATCATTGCCACAAGATATATTCATATCTAAAAGTACTCTCCAAAGATATTAAAAATATGAAAAATCAAAATAGGAGTGATTATCTTTTTAACTATTCATTTAACTTTGGACCAGGGATCCCCAACCCCCGGGCTGTGGACCACTACCGGTCTGGGGCTGTTAGGAACCGGGCTGTACAGCAGGAGGTAAGCGGCAGGCAAGGGAGCAAAGCTTCATCTGTATTTGCAGCTGCTTTCCAGAGCTAGCATCACCGCCTCAGCTCCACTTCAGATCATCAGGCATTAGATTCTTATAGGAGCATCTGTCCCTGGTGCCAAAAGGTTGGGGACCACTGCTTTGGGCTATATATTATAAAGGATGGGGAAATAATTACAATTACAGTCTCTCCTGCCTCCATGTTTTTGTTAGTTATATTATTTTTTTTAAACATCAAGGTTGTTGACATATTTATATTCTGTTTTATAATCAGAATCCCCTTAATGCATTAACCCTGGTACTATATTTTAATGGATTCAGTGCTCTCTGATAGACTTTTTACACAATTTCTTCATTGGTAAAGGCTATGTGGATTGATGTAGATGATTAGATTTTGTCCTCTTGATAAAATTTTTTCCCTTAGACTTTACTCTTTAAAAGCCTGTTTTTCTTCTCTGAGCTCACTCAGAAGCATTCCTCCCTAATATCTGTGAGACAATGAAGAATTCTTTTATTTTTGAACTATTTCTGTTTTTTTGGCTCATTCCTCCTGTAACAAAAGGCTCTGCTCTGCCTCTGGCGTATGCTCTCTGTATGACTGGTATGTCTCTGTTTCTGTGTTTGTGCATTTTATACATAAATCCCGTGTGGGTTCCCTTCTGGGAAATATGAATCTTTCAGCCAGCAGACTACCCACTGATCAACAAGAGCTCCAAAGTCTGCAGCCTTTTCTCAGATTGGTGCTCTTCCAACTCTCTTTGGTCAAAGTAATAAGAGAATTTCCCTGGCTCTGGACACATTCTCATGATTTTTATCATGGGGTCTGTCTAGTGTCTTCTTACATAGCATACACTCTCATTGTGGCAAGTTGGCAACTGTTGCTTCTCCTCCCTCCTTCTCTCGACCTCAACTACTTTATACTCTGGTGTCCAGGAGTTAGGCACTAAAACGATTACATCTTTTTCTTCATCTGAATACTTTAGGGAGGTGAGTTACCAGCTTTAACAAGATAAGACAATCATATAATTGAATTGTTCCTAAGCCAATTAAGAGTAAATGCACAAGGATAATTAAAAAGAAATTAAACATTCTGTAGGGTAGCAAATTTAGCAATAAGTTTATCTACTCCATTTTGTTCCAAAATTAAAAACATATTTTTACTTAGATGGACATCTTTGAAATAGATCTTTTGGTTTTGTCTTAAAAGAGTATATACTTCTCTGAATTTTTTTTTCCATGACATTCTTAAAGAGTTTGAACCATACTAAATAATAACCAACAGAATAAGTTCTACTTCTCACGTTGCTTATAACATAAATTTCAAAAGTTTTTCAATTTTTTCATTTCCCCACCTCCCCTCCCAGTCAGAATCACTCTTGGTAATTGATCTCAATTCTTTCAGATTGAGGCTCTTTAGGCCATAAAAAAAAGAATTAAGCAAATTTCTTTCCTATGTTTTCAACATTTCTGTCTCTAGGTTTTACCTTTACCTCTTCTGAGAAAAGAAACTTCTTCCTAATTCTCTTCCTGTGGTCTTTTTTGTCATCGTTGTGAAATACTTCAAACATATAGAAAAATACAGATGCTAATAAAGCAGACATTGACTCAACAGATACTGGAGTTTGTCAGATTTGCTTTAGATTTTTAAAATATAGGTACAACTTTTATACTTTTTATATTTATAAGAGATTGGCCAAAAATTTTCTCTTAGTTTATCCTTATATGTACTTATTCTGGAATAAAGGTTATATTAACTTCATAAAGTGAATTAAAGAGCTTTCTTTCTTTACCTACTTACTGAAATATGTATAAAATGAAGTGGAGGGAGAGTTCTTGGATGTATTGGTAAAATTCATTTTCAGAGCTATGTACAATAAGTGCTTTGTGTGCATATGGGATGGGAGGTCGCCTATTTATTCATTTTTGAAAAGTTTTTACAAACTTATTTAGATTTTCTATTTTTAAGTTAAATTTGAACATTTATAGACATAATAGTTTATCTGCCTTCAGATATATTGACTGAAGTCATTGTATTATGCTTTTTTAAATCTATTTTTAATTATAATTATATCTGCCTTATAAATCTATACTATATCTCAGATTGTGTCCCTACAGTTTATTCTCATTCATGTTCATTTATAGATCGCTTACTAGAGGTATACCTATTCCATTAGTCTAATAAAATAAAAGCTATTTTTTGTTGTTGATGGTCTTCATTGTCCTTATATTCTATTTCATGAATGTCTACTTTTATTCTTACAATCTTTCCTTCTTTCTCCAGTTTTTATTCTCTAATTTATTTATTAATTTCCTGATTTGTACACTTTTAACACTTGAATTTTTAATATTTTTCCACTCTCTAGTATATGCAATTTACCTTTAAAACTAATTTAGCTGCACTTTATAAATTTTGGCATTTTCACTTAGAATCTGAATATTTTGTTATTTTATTGCAATTTTTTTTCTTTAGCTTATGAAATACTTAGAAGCGTCTTTTTGAATGTGCAAGTATATAATAGGTGTGAGAGGATTGGAGTGTTTCTGTGTTTGGGTTATTGATACCTAATTTATTTCTTTTTGGACAGTAAGATAAAGTTTTACATTATTCTTCAGTATTTGTTGAGACTCACGGGTCAGTTTTGTTTTGTTTTGTTTTGTTTTTTGTTTTCTTACTGTTCCTTGAGTGCTGACAAAAAAAAAAAAATGCTTTCTCTTACGGGCTCAGTGCAGTGTCCTATATTAAATTCATTGGTTCAGGATTGATCATTGAGTTGTTAAAGCACTCTGTATTCTTAAGACAAGTTTTTTGTCTCCTGTCTTAATTTCTGATGAAATATATTAAAGCTTCTAACTAGCATTGTGTAATGCCAGTTTCTCTTTTTAATTATCTAACTTTTAGATTTTGAATGATATGCTGTTTAAATGGATGCAGGCTTAATAAGGTCATTATATTTTCCTGGTGAATTACTCCTTTTACACTTAAGGAATTATCTTTTTCATATCCTGTAAGGTCTTTTACCTTTATTTTGTCTGATATTAATGTTGTAGTATTGCATTTTTCTGTTGTTTTGAATGCCTAGTATTTCTTAGCTTAACTCATTTTCATCCATTTGATGTGATTTTTAAGTAGATCTCTTGTAAGCAGCATGTAATTGGATTAAATAACTTTTAAATATAATGTAAAAATCCATTTATATTTATTTTGATTGTGTCAGACTTAATTTTTAAATTTTTTCCTCCTTTTATGCCTTCCATTTGATTGAGTTTTCTTTCTATGCATTTGTGTGGAAGTTTTGTCTTTTTCGTTTCTTCCAGGGGCTACCCTATAGAGTTTTAACAAAGTAAAGAACTAGTTTGTATCTCTCTTGCTCCCAAACAGTGCCAGGGTCTATAGTGTTCTCATTTCAATCACACCTTCTTATCTTGCATGTAGTTATTGTCTGTTTTATTTCCACTTTGTTTTAACTATCATTAGTTATTAGTATTACTTTTCGCCGTTAATGTTTATTTGGAGTTACCTCTATTAGTCTTCCATTTTACAGTGCTTCTGCTACCCTCTCATTTCTAGTTTGATTTAATTTCTTTATTTGTCAAGAACATCTACTAGTGGTTATTTCAGCAAGATTTCTAAGGGACAGAGTTTCCATTTTGGATATTGAATATGTTCTTACATCACTGTCATTTTGAGAGACTTTGTTATTAATGAAGTTCTAGATTGACACTTATTTTTTTTGGCCCTTTGAAGATATTTCGCTGACGTCTATTATTTATTGATGATAAGGTTTCTGTGTCTTATTATCATCCCTTTGAAGATAATCTATTTTTGTTCAAAATTGTTCAAAATTTTCTTTTAATTTTTGATGTTTTGTGATTTCAGCACATCAAATGTGCATTTATGCTTTTTGAGATTTGGTGTATTGCTTAATCTGAGGATTCCTGTCATTTTTTCAATTCTAAAAATTTCAGCCATTAGATCTTCATATATTTCCTCTTTGCTATTTACTGTTTTTTTTTTTCATTCTGAAACTCTTATAAATGTGCTTTCTGACTGCTTTTTCTGTTCCCTGTATGTCTTCTCTATCCTGTTTTTTGACTCATTTTTTATGCTGCAGTTTAGATATTTTCATTAACTCTGTATCTTATTTAATAATTCTTCCTCTGCTATGTCTATTGAATATATTTTTTTAATATTTAAAAATATAAATTTTTTTAGAAGTACCCTCTAATTCTGTTTCAGATTTGCCTACATATTGATCATAATGTTCTATTTTTTTCATAATGGTTTTTATTCTTTTTGTTATCTCTAATTATTTAAAACAAGAGCCAGCCATTTTTCTGTCAAGGGTCAGAGAGTAAATACTGTAAGTTTTGCAATTCATGTAATTTCTGTCACAACTATTCAATTCTGCGTGGTAGTGTAAAGGCAAACCTAGGCAATATCTAAACAATTGGACATGACTATGTTCCAGTAAAATTTTATTTACCAAAACAGGCACTGGACTGGATATAGCTCATACACCATAATTTACTGACTCTTGATTTAAAACATACTCTATTAAAATCACACTCAAGTGATTCTCTTAACTCAAATAGCTAAGAGTGGTAATTCTTCTGTTTGATGTATCAGCTGACAGATAATCTGTCCATCACAGATTATTTTATTGTGTGTCACAATTTTGAGTTGTGAACTCTGCATACAGCCTTCTGTTGGAAGCCAGTGTGCCTTGAGTTATAGAATTATTCTTCAAAACATACTGGCATTTCAGACTTTGCAGCTAATATTTTTCTAAAGGATTGCTTTTTAAATTATTACCCTCAAAATACCTTGATAAAAATATTCTGCAATAATCCAGTATTTAGTGTTCTACCTGACACGTGGGGAGCACACAGCCATCAGTGCGACCGTTATCTCTATTAAAATTAATAGCACTGTTATATATTATTCATCTGAGGTCTTATAGAATCTACAAAACTTATAATTGTTCCTATTTATGCTCTCAAAGTTTTTGAAAATTCCGGTTAATTGGAAGGTCATAATTAAAATACTTCTTTTTCTAGACCTGCTGCTACTTTGAGTTAAAAATATACATAGTATTGAGTGAAGCATAGATTATGAAATTAAAGACAATTAAGGCAAGACTGAAACACAAAGAAGCTTTATTCCTTCTGAAATATCATTTTTAAAAGGGATAGCATTAAACATATTTATGAATATGTGTGTTCAACATATACAGTATGAGTCTTTACAAGTGCATGATTTTCCGAATCTATAGTAAATTCATGCCTCTTACTTCTTTATCACAGGACACTTGAAATGGACCAAAGCTGAGGACATTGACATAGAAACCCCAGGATCTATTCTTGTCAATACTAACTTGAGGGCATTAATAAATAAACATACGTTTGCTTCCTTACCTCAGCATTTTCAACAATACCTCCTGCTTTTGCTCCCAGAAGTGGATAGGCAGGTAAGTAGTTTAGATATTTGATATTAGTCACTAGTTATATTATTATGAAGTGGCAAGTCTGTTATTGAAAATGACCGATAAGAGGATGGATTGTTTTGTAATAATATATTTATGTAATTTATATACTTATTGCTAGCATTAGTGTATTTGTTTAATTTGCCAAAAACAAAACCATTTTTTATTATCAATGGTGAGCCAATTCAAATTTTAAAATACAGCACATTGCTGTAGAGTGAAAACTACAGACTTACCCACAATGGGAAAGGAAAACAAAGAAATCTAACATTCCATTATCAAATAAATTTTTGAAGTAGCTGCTCCTTTGCCCACAGGGAATATTGAAGTGCAGCAATAAAAAGCCAGGGTTTCTAAGAAATTATGTAAATGTTTTTATTCTCAACTCTTTCCAAAAGCATTTAAAATTTATGTTTGCAGTTGCCTTCTGAGAGTCTATCATCATGAATATGATTGCCTATAAATAATCACCTTTTATCTTTTTTTTAAGTATAACTGGAAATGTTTTCTGTATTTTTGTATTTTTGAAATGTCTCTAAAATAAAGAAATACAAATATAGACCCATAATAGCAAGCATCAATCATCTTCTAAAGCTGTTACCTTAGAAAAGAAAAGGAAAAAATTTTTTCAACATGTAAACTTTTATTAAGTTTCACAAAAATTATTAAATGATAAAAAGGAAATATTTCCTTGTGATTCTTATTTCAGTAAATTTTGACACAGTATAGTTTCCAGTTGATAGACATAATGTTTATGAATTTTTATCTCGAAATGATGGGTACTTCCATAAATTAAAATGGGCAATTTTGAGTCAGCATTTCTATATTAATTTGAATAATTTTTTTAGCTTTTTATTCTGTTTTCTACTAACCCACCTCCTTTCATACATACTTAAAATTTGATGAGCTATATTCCTATGTGTCTCTTTGGTAGAGATTATTGTTCATATTTAGAAAAATATTATTTTGGTTTTGAGTACATTTTTATTTGGGAGTTTGCCTTCATTCTACAAAAATCTTTAATATTTACTATGAATATGATCTGTTTTAGGTGCTTTGAAATAATGGACAGTGACTACTAAATGTTTATTGAATCAATGATTAAATATACTCTAGTTGGATTCATAAGCTATATTTATAAATAATCAAAATATGAGGTAGAAATAGGTAAGCTTAAGAGGAGGAAGCACAAAGCACAAAATATATTGTTTTCATATGCAGAAGGTAAAAATCAGAGACAAATTTAAGATCCTTGAATTGGGCCTTGAAATATAGGCAGAATTTGAAAAATATAGATGAAAATGTGGCAAGTGAAAGTTTCAAAGATAGAAAATCAAGAGCTAATTTTATGAGAGTCTGGATTAGAGGAAGAACAGTGCAAATGAATCTTGAAAGACAATTTGAAAGTCAATTTTGGAAGATTCTTGAGTCTGAGGCTGAAGAATCTGAATAGTGTTCTCCCTGTGTTTACAATGCAAAGCCATTGAGGGCTTTTGAGCAGAGCTATAATATATAATATCATTGCTTTTTAAGAAAATTATTCTGGCAGCACTAAAAAGAAATGTTAGAGATGGGAAGCATGAAAGTAAAGATAGTTGTTAGAAAGCAATTTTAGTTGTTTCAAAAAGGCAAAATGAGGGCTTGAATTTTGAGAATAGCATTGAAATTAAAGAGGAGAAGGATAATGCTGTCATCATCATCATCATCATCATCATCATCACCATCACCATCACCATCACCACTACAACTCTCATCCAGTGGTAGCAATTTTACATTTCGTCAAATAACAGTTGAAGTAAGATATAGGGAGAAGCCACTGAGGACTCGGGTTTCAAGCTGTGACTGAGAATTGAGTTCAGGAATTAAGAAAAACCGTATTCTTATTATTATGGTTTTTTTGGTGGTGGTGGGGAACTGATTTATTAGCTACACAACGATTCTTCCACTTCAACATATGTATGGTTTATCTTGCTTACAATTCTATTCCCAGCTCCTGGAATAAAATTTTGCATATATAATATAGTCAATAAATCTTTTTGAAATGAAGAAATGACAAATTATCCTATGTTCAGCCAAATATTTCAGTAACCCAGGAGGTCAGTCTAAGCCCAATATTTTATTCAACCTGTAACAGTTTCTGTTACTCAGTTTTTTTCTAGTCACTGTGAGAAATATAAATGAATAAGGCACATTACCTGTCTTCAGATAACATCTAGTTCATCAGGAAATTATTTATTCAAGAAATATTTACTGAGCATGTATTATGTGCTGTGCACACTTTGCTAAGTATAGAGGATACGAGAAACTTCTGGGAAATAATAGACAGGAGAAAGACAACCTCATGTTGAAACACTGTAAAATATACACTTTTCTCATTACTAGGAAAGAAGTTTAATAACTTCATAAACCTCCACCAAATTTAGCACAAGGCCAGGCAAAGTAATATGAATATCAAAATGGAAGTATAAAGAAAGTTCTCTGAGGGTACAGAGGATGAAGAACTTTAGTCTGAAAGTAACATTGGAGAAGATTTCATGGTGGAAAGGATACTGAAAGTTGACCATTGAAGGACTAACAGGTAGTTTTGCAAGTATAGCCAAGAGAACGTGAATTTTACAGAGGGAGAGCATGTCATTTACAAAGGCTTGGCACTTGTGTTTCCGGACAGTTTGGTAGTCAGCATAACTGGACCAGGGAAAAGCAGTGAGATGCTGTGCTGAAGAATAGTATGGTTAACATACTTCATGACCTAGTTGCAGACTAAGTTCTTTGAACTTTTTCTGAAACCAGTGGGTAACATCACAGATTTTTCAAATGAGAAATGGCATGCATAGAATAATTTGTACAATTATTTTAGTGCTTGAACAGAGGGTAGGGGAAGAAAAGGCAAAGGATAAATAAAATACAGTCTTTTCTTTCTCTTAGGAGCCAGTAGCCCTGTGAATGATGGATCAGACAAGCAGAAAGATAAGACATGGGGAGACTGGTTGAGAGACAATTGTAGTAGTTGAGATCTGCGATAAGGGTCCGACCTTGAGCATTGGCCTTGGAAATGAAAAGAAAGAACTAAATTCCACACATAGTTTCAACCCACATGAGTAGGAATAAATGACAGATTTCCTGTGAGATGGGGTCGTAAAAGGTCTAGAAGGCAACTGGTAATTTTATTATGGGTGACTTGGGAAGACAGAAAGGCTCTGTGGGCCTATCAATATTTGATACCAAGAAACTTAGAGCCTTTTCTCTCTGTGTCTTGAGGTGAGCTCAACCCTGTCTCCTAGCAGAAAGGTAGCTGATGCAACAAGCTATCAAAACTGTTGGTGTTTCAGTCCAGCTTATAAATACCCAAATGGGGATGAACACCGCTGTTGTCTAGGCCAAAATCAGTAGAAAAAGCATGGATATATGAATCAGATTACATATATTGATTTGAGCCAATGTAAGGTACTATAATTATGTGAAATATCTAAGAATTTCGCTTGTATGAAAGAAATCTTCATATATTTTTACAAAATTTGAAATTTCCAGCTTTCTTGTTTTCTTCCTTTGAGTACCCCAGGTTTCTGCCTAATTTCTTCCCTGGAGTACTACAGGGTCTCTTACTCTGGACCATATGAAGCCAGGGTTCATTCCATTATTACATCTTTAAAATATGGGAAGCTACGTTTCCCATTTATCTTGCCACTGCCAATTGTTATTAAGTCAGCCCGTCTGGTATTTTGTTTTCCTACATTTATACTTTATTTTTAGAGGTATTTTTAATCTTAGATTACTTTTTTTTATTTACTCCTAGTTGTTTTATAACAGTGTCACTTCTACTTTTATATTTTATTTTACTCTTCATATATTATACTGCAAGTAACAGAAAATAAAACTGAAACTGACTTAAATAAGGTGATTTATTGGCTCAGGGTAATTAGAAGAGAAAGATTAAAGTGGGCTTCTGGTGTTGGCCCTGGTTTCCATTATTATCAAGGACCTATTTAATTATCGTTTAATGAATCAATCTTCTCCCTTGTTTTTTGCACTATGCTAAGCCTGAATCTCTTTGCAGGAGGATGGCTACCTGAATCAAAAAATTAGTACTTGCCTCTTAGTTCACATTCATGGAAAAAATACGTCTATCCCAGTATTTCAAAGAAAAGACCTAAGATTTACACTAATGGTACTTCTTAGATCATATGACCCCTTCTTAATGACTCTAGCCAAGGAAATAGAATATGCAAATTGGTTTAAGGCAACCAGGCCTACTCTTGAACCTTAGCGCTCACCGTCTCCTGAAGTAAAATGGTGTACTGTGTAGAGATCGGGGATGCTTCAGAAATCTGGTTTTTAGGAAGTTCTGTTAAAAGGATATGCATTGGGAGTAGGGTGGAAAGAAGCTCAGTCATCGACTAATAGTGCCTATAGTCATGGGACAGGTATTGAGTTTGGTTTTAACATATTGGGTTGAGATGCTTCTACTATACGAAATGTCTGGAAATTATTATATCTTCAGGTTTGAGATTGGATAAAATCTACATATATTCTAGTATCTGCTATGGGATTTGATGAGACTGTGAGATATCATAGTCATCCCAGAGGAATACATATATTTGTAAGAGAGTATGGGTAAGAAAAAGTATGAGGAGTCAGGGAATAGATAGAATATTCAAATCTATCAGAAATCATCAATGTGGAGATCACATACAGGCAACAGTGTGAAATGGACATTAGGAGGTCATTGTGGAGTAAGTTGGATGTCTTTCCTTTGTCCTTCTAGATCTACCCTTCAACCTTCTTCATTCTGCTTTGCTTCAAGAAGCTAACCCATAAATAGACTAGTGTATCAGGAGGACCTAGACCTTCTCTGTTCTTTTTATTTTAAAATAATCATAAACTTTTAGAAAATTTAATGGTACATAGAGAATAAATTTCCAGCCTGATCATCCATCCTGTCCCCACTCCTGATGAACTATGACTTTAAGTTTACATTTTCTACAAAC